GGGTGCGGGGGACGAGGGAGGTCGGGGCGGGCTGGGAGTGCGGGGGGGCGAAGGGGGTGCGGGGGGACGAGGGATGTGGGGGGTTGGGGGGTGCGGGGCTAGACAAGACCGTGGCGGGCTGGGGTCAGTGGCTGAGACGTGCCGGTACCAAACATACCCGAGACAGCAGCACTTTAAAAACTACAACTCCCAGGTTGCGTCGCTCATGACGGAAGCGACTGGCGCAGGACGGAAGCCGAGTTCCCTGGCGTACCGCGGTTGGCGTCCAGACCGCTGATATCACTTCCTCTTCCGACAACTTCCGGCCCCGCTCTGCAAACGGAAGCTGTAATGCCAAAAGCGCCTCCCGCCCAAACAGAGGGCCCTGGGCCCCGACCCCGCCTCTCCCACGGTGCCGCTGGATCTGCGGTGGCTGATGGGAGTTGTAGTACGGGGTGCACTACATCTCCCACAAGCCTCTGCTTCAGTCCTCCTCTCCCCCCCAGTGGGGCTTAGCTGGGCACATGGCAATAGTGGGGACTGTGGATTGGGGCCGAGGGTGGGGGGTCTTACGGGGTGTGTGTGTGTCCTGAGGAGGATTGAGGCTGAGGGGCAATGGGGGGCAGGGGGGAGATGGGGAATAAACAGAGGGATTCGGGGCTTCTGGCAGTTTTGGGGTGTCGGGTTGTGGCTAGGCCCATCTAAGTTGAAATGGGGACAGGTTGCTTTAGGACCCGCTCAGGGGGCATGGGAATGGGCAGGAGCAGGAGGGATGCAGGTGATAGGGGAGAGAAGAAGATTTTGGATGAGGAGGATTGGAGTACAGGGAATGAGAGGTTTATCTAGGTGAGTGGAGGAGGGTGAGTGCCAGGCTGGGGTGGTAGGAGCAAGAGCTGAAGTGGTTTCAGAGGACGAAACTGGGGCACATAAGCCAAGGAGGGAAAGCATAGTTGATGGGGGGGAGGTGGCGGCTAAGGGTGCCCCACTGTAACCTACTGTCCCCAGTCATGGGAGGGGTCACCCATCCCCCTCACTGTAAAGTTGGCTGCTCCCACTGGCAGCACAGCTCTGGGATGCTCCCTCTGTGACTCGCTGTTGCACATATAGAGGGCACGTCTCATAGCAGCTTGTGCTTCTCACCACCCCCTGGCAGCTAGAAGTTTCTGGCTCCTCACTCCATGGTGGGAGAAAGCACAAGACACTCCCATCTCCCATGCCACCTCCAAACCTTTTTCTCCTCGATCCAACCCCCTGCTTAGTGCCTTGCCCCTGCTATGACATCTCAGCATAGAGATGGGGCAAAAGGGGTTCCTGCCAAAAGCCTGGGATAGCTCCCCTCCAGCACAGTACATGTGGTTAAGAGTGAAGGGAAAGGGGAGTAGCCTGCCCCCTCTTCTCACATGTTTAGTAGTTTGTGATGTAAAAAAACCTGCTGTGACGGTACAAATGGAGAAACAGATCTTCCTATACATTATTACA